GTAAATAGTAGCCGAGGGAAAATATCCAAGGTTGTTCTCTGAGCTCCACGTGCAAGATCACATGCAAACATGCACCCACGTGCGCACTCGCGCGCGCGCACACACACACACACACACACACACAGAAAGAGAGAGAGAGAGAGAGAGAGAGAGAGAGAGAGAGAGAGAGAGAGATTTGGGAGACCTGAAAATTACAGGACATTGACACTTCTGTGTCCCCCAGGAAGGTAGGTTGAAATACACACTACCACACCACCCACCTCTGCAGAGGTATCATGACAATCCACAGCTGGAAAGCAGCGCCAAGTCTCCATTAGGCATCCCAGACCCAGGGCCAACAGCTGGGGTTACTTTTAGGGTTTCATGAAATGTTTCAAGTTGCTTTAAAATCAGAACAAAATTATTAACAACCTAGGCTACTGACTGAACTAGCCTGGGTTATCTTCCTCTTTGTTGTACAACGCCATTTACTATTTTTCCTGCAGTGGGAACAACGCAAGATGGTGGATGTGCTGCGGACAGAACAGAAATCACAATGCCACCTGGTATCCACTGACTGGCTCTCGGTGAGGGGAAGGGTATGAAGGCTAAGCCTCCTGAGACAGGGGACACCAGCAGCTGGATAGCTCCTGCTGTAACTACCACGCTGAGTGACCTTTCATCACGGAAGGTCCCATCTCCCTCCAAGAATCCCTGGGTATGAGAGTTGACCTCCTTGGGCCCTCAACCGGAAAATCCCCGATCAGTCCACTCCGTGGGGTTGGTGTAAGGCAAGATGAGACCTCGACTCAGGTACTCAGGCTTCAGATTGGACACAGTCAGATCACGGGTGAAGTCCCAGAAGCGCACCACAACCCTAGTAGACGGGGGGGGGGGGGGGGGGGGGGGGGGGGGGGGGGGGGGGGGGACGGGGACAGGGGAGGACATAGTGCCAGATCTGCTTGGAAATCCTGTCTCGAGATGAAATCAGTTCTTTCCACCCGTCAGGGAAAGCCGGGGAAAGTTCCTGGGGCAGGTGAGCGGAAACCCAGGGCTCAGCCCCTCCCTGTGGCTCCGCTCAGCCTGTGGTGGTGGCATCGTGGCTGTGGAGGACCGGGATGGGTCTTGGCGGTTTAGGAGCCTAGCCTGGAAAGCTCTATGTAACCTTTGCAAGATGCCTGCATATTTCACCCTTCCAAGCGAGCACTCCCATTTTTTTTTTGTCATTCCAATTTCATTTCCGGGGCTGTGTGGACTGCGGGCTCAGCAGTCACTCCGGTCTGAAGTGACTCCTGGGACCTTCTCACTGTTCTATATGCAAATGGCCTTGCACCTGGGCAGCCGAGCAGGCTCGCAGACAGTTTAGTTATGCAAATCTGATTGATCGAGAGCATATTGCAGGAGCTTGCGCAGGGCCTGGGACACTGGCAGCTATATTTCACTGGCTAAATTCCTGAAGAAGGGGGAGAAATTAAATGCCAGGCATTTTGATGCATATTCCCTTCAACCCCTGTCGTGCGGCGATGCTTTACTTCTGAATACGTTCAGCACTTGAGTTAGACGCCGCTAATGCAATTTTTGCACGCGGGGTGTGTTATTGCTGAATTAACAGAAGGCTTGTTTTCCGTGTAAAAAGCCAGTCGCTGTGATGTTGCTAGCACAATAGGTCTGTCAGTCGATTTGAAGTAATTCCCCAGGCAAATGCAGTAAAGGCAGTGTTTTTAAAAAAATAATAATAATTAGGTCCTTCGGCCTCCAAATGCTCACCCAAGTGAAAGGGACTTGAGCAAGTTCCTCTGACTTCCTTCTCCTCCACAACAAAAGGTAAAATACACCGCAGGGACTCTGATTACACATTGTCATCCTGTGTGGAAAGCGTTTGTCTGTTTCCCAAACACTGGGCTTGAAGAGGGGAGATGGAGCAGCGACAGCCGCAGCTGCCTGGGAGAAAATAAATTTTAAAAGAAGAAACTCGAATCTGCTTAAGCTAATAAATTCCTCATCCGACACATTGCATTCATGCATGCTGAAGTCTGAGGCTCGAGAGGCCCGTCCTGCTGCGCTGCATTCTCCTTATTGATTTATAGTCACTGATAAATAAGATGCACCTTCACAGCACATGAAGGCAGGGGAAGAGGGGGGAAAGATATTTATTTATTTATTTATTTATTTATTTATTTATTTATTTATTTATTTATTTTCAACAGTGTCTCTCCCCAGCACCCGTGTATCGAAATTAAAAATAAATCAACACTATGTTCAGGAGAGGAGGGGCAATGGGAAGGGGTAGGAAGAGAGAAGGACAACATTTTGCCTGGTGAAGCAGATCGCGAACCCTGCAGACCCTGAAGAGAAGAGAGGGTCAGGTGGTCAGGTGTGGGGCATGGCTCAGGACTGTCTCCGCTTGCAAGACTGTATTAACGTCTAAGTTAGCAAATACATCCTTCACTTGTTCTCTGGTGTCACCCCCGTGACCCCTCTCAGGCAGCGTGGTCGACACTTGCACGGTGTGGACGTTATCAGCTATGCAGAAGTACTCACGTGGACACATCCTGTGGGTGTGGACATTCGCAGCCACTGCAAAGCAAAGGAAAGCAGAGCGAGAGGGGCTGGTGGAGCCCGTATCTACAGGACTGCTGGGCATAAATCCTTCATTTGCGCCCACCCTAACATCTGATCTCTTGATACGGGAATCACAGAGTGTTGTCATCGAAAACGACAGTCTTTCTCTACTCTTGGTGAAAAACTATATGGACATCAAAGCCACTCCAATGGCTTGGGGTTTCTTATTCAGAAAAATAAAACTCACAGACCACAGAGGGTGAGTTCTAGAGAGGGCTTTAGTATCTCTCACTGCCTGCTCCCAACCCTCACATGCTCAGACAAGCCACACACATACACATTGCACATACATGTGCAAACACATGTACACGGTACTATAGACATGCACACATGCCTGTGTCCCTGCATGCACACATACACATGCTTCTGCTGTACACAGGAAGCAAGGCTGAGTATGGAAATGCATATGTCCTCATGTTTGTGCATGCAAACACATATCCCAAACACACACACACACACACACACACACACACACACACACACACACACACACACCTTTAAAAATAAAAAATGACTATCTGACAGGCAAATTCCAGCCAGAGGGTCAAAAGCAAAGATCCTGGGAAAAGTCAAGTGTAATCCCTTCCGACCATGGCCCAGCATGCCCCTCCCGTCCCTGACTAACAAAAGGGCCTCAGCACTTTGACTGACAGAATTCTTAATTGTATCCACTCATTCATGACAATTTGATTAAAATATTACACCATAGTCTCACCCCCTGTTTGCTTCGATCCTCCAAATCTAATTTTGAATTTTCAGAAAGGAGATTACTCCCACAAGCATGACTGAGGCACTATTAACTTCTACTTAATCTTTATTACTGATGTGAATTTAACATATGTACCTCGTCGCTCTGCCCTGCTGTTTGCCTCCAAAGTAACACGGAGGCGATAGAGAAGCGGTGGGCACAAACTGCCACTGTGCTCCTCTGTCCCAGTCCAGCTCACCCGGCTCTGTGGAGAGGCATCTTCCCACTCACTTCAGGATAGGGATACAGGGCCTTCCACCTCTGCCTCAGCACTGCCTCCAGAACTCCCAGAGCAGCAATCCTCAGGGGGCTCTACAGACTGTGCACTGTCCAGCCAGCCCTGGACCAGGGAGCTGCACCCGAGATAAATCCACAATAAACACAAGAGCAGATCAACAAGATAAGAATCAAAACATAAACCGGAGGCTTTACTTTCCAAAGTTTCTCATTTCCATGGTTTTAGGTCATCTTGTTTCTTGATTTGTCTTGCTTATTCTGTAGCTGTGTGTGTGTGTGTGTGTGTGTGTGTGTGTGTGTGTGTGTGTGTGTCCCCCATGTGACAATCAGGGATTATATCCTTAGGATCTTGGAGGCTCTAAGAAGGAAAAACACTCCACCCAGGGCTTAAGCTCCGGAAGCTGCTAGAAGGGGTTGGCATTCTTCTGGAAACAATGGAAACAGCTAGACACTTGAACTGGGTAATTTGATCAACATATTCCACAGAAAGACATATATAATGTACAGAAACCTGAAGGGCCAGTGCTGGATTTAGGGCTAAGATGGTGGGCAGCAAGTTCCTGGGAGGATGTTGGGATAACAGCCAGGACGGATTCCCATTCCAAGCTACCATCTTTGCAAGAAGGACATGGCAAGCTTTCCTACCCAGAGAGAAGCAGTTCTTGCCTCTTTCTCTCCACTCCTTCCTCCAGGGCTCTCACTGACCTGACACAAAGGAAAGCCCCCTGATGGAGTTCACAGCAAGGTTCATTCAGATGAGTCCTGGGTCACTGGGCAGTTAGAGAGAGGCGGGGAGAGAGTCTGCCTGAAAATTGACAGCAAGGAGTCCACTTGTTCATTTAGAAGACTAGAAGGGGTGGGGGTGGGGTTTGAGACAGGGTTTCTCTGTGTAGCCATGACTATCCTAGAACTTGCTCTGTAGACCAGGCTGGCCTCAAACTCACAGAGGCCTCGAACTCTAAGTGGACTGCCTGTCTACGTAGAAGAATCACTACAGTTACAGAGCTCAGAGACGGCAAGGAGGAAAAGGTCTGTACATGTGAGAGCTGATGATTAGTCAGAAGGAGCTGAACCCACCCCAACTTGAAAAGAGGCAACTGGCATCTGGCTTGTGTGGACTCTGGGTTCTGTCTTTCAACTTCATTCCCCACTCTTCATAGGTGGGCACATATCTCTAATAACAAAAACTACTTTGCCCAGACTCCCTTGCAGCTTAATGTGGTCATATGACTAAGGAATGGAGAGGTACCTTGTGCAGCCTGGAGGTCTCACCTTTAGTAGAAAGGGTTTTGTCTCTTTCCCTTCCTACTGAGTGGTCAGAGAGGGCAGAGCAAAGCCTTTCTTCTGTTAAGGTTCTCTCAGTGGGAAATGAGCCACATACCACCAATATTTTCCTCTGTGCCTTGCCCTGACTGGTACCATCCCCACCACCTCGATTCACTCCACAGGCCTGGTTTAGATGAGGTTCCCCTTACCTTAGGGTACTGTCCAAGATCCCCAGTGGGTAACTGACACCATGGTTTGTACTGACACCATAAACATTTTTTATTTTACAGAGACACACATGTGACATATGCATTCAGGTGCAGTATGAAATCAGCAATGATAACAATATTATAACAGGAGTACACTATGATGAAAGTTTTTAAAGCATTTCCTGATATTCAAGATTTCTTGCTGCAGCGTGGTAGCACAGTGATGGTCATAGTTGAAAAAGGCAAACCAGAGTCAAGGAAGAAGGTCCAGGCTGAGTGGGTGGCTAAGTGGATAAAACACTTGTCACATAAGCATGGGGGCCGGAACTCAAATCCTGAGCATCCATGGGAAGCCAGACACAGTAGTGCATGTCTGTGATCCTGTGGCAAGCTGGGAGGCAGAGACAGGAGGATTCCCTGAAAGAGCCCAGCCAGCCTGATATTCCAGGTACAGCAGCAGAGATCTTTCCTCAAACAAGGTGGATGGTGACAACTGATACCAGATGGTGTCCTCTGACCTCCACGTGATGAAACAGCCTGCCTCCATCTTGGGCCTGAAAGCCATCGTACAGTAAAGACAAACTGGGTTCATTCCCATTTATGATTAAACCTCTGTTTCTCAAGGATTGGACTATCCCCCACCTGTAACCTTAACTACAAATGGTTCTGCCTGCTCCAGGAAATGGCAGCCATGTCTTTGTTTCAAAACTATTGTTGTAATCATCTTGCAACCCTACCTTTGTTTCTAAAGGTTGTTATGACTACCTTGCTATGACCACCTTGTAATGTTCTGCTTCTATAACCCTGCCTATTTTGCCCACCAAATCCCCCATTTGGAAACCCCCTACCCATGGACTATAAATACCTTGTCTTTCTCATGTCCAATGCTGACCTCTTGATACCCACCTTAGGAGGAGGCAGCCCATGGACACAAACAAAAAAGCTTGCTTTAATTAATTTGGCTGTGATTTGGGTTGGTGGTCTTTCTCCTCACATCTTTGGGATCAACACACACACACACACACACACACACACACACACACACACACACACACAAACACGTACACACCCTGCATATGTACCTAGACACAAATATGTCACAGAAGAAAGGAAAGAAGGAAGAAGAAGAGGAAGGCAGGGAGGGGGAGAAAAGGCCACCGACAGTGATAACTTACCAATGAAAGTTGCTGGAGAAAAGATGGGGTGTTTATTTTGAAAATAACGCAGAGGTCACAGTGAACAATAAAGGGCAGATAAAGGGTTCTGCCATCACAGAACCAATTGCAAAGGAGTGTACGGACTGGTGGCCGGGGACTGAGCCCAGTGCTGAGAGCATCGCATGATCCCCCAGTGTGTCTGTAAAATATAATAATATATATAAATATATATATAATAAAATGATTTTCTCAAAGGATGAAAAAAGGTGTTTTAAAACCTATGAATTGTTTATTTCTGAAACTTTCCATTAAGTACTATATTTCCTTTGCCAGTAACTGAATGTAAAACCACAAAAGTGAAACTACGGAGGAGGGGAGACCAGACCCTCTATCCAGGGTTGACCTTGTCCCTGCCTCTCTCTCAGGCTTCAAGGGAGAACTAAATAAGACCAGAATGGGTATGGTTCTTAACCCACTTTGCAGGGGAGAAACTTGAGACCCCACTATAGACAGAAACAAGTAGCGCAGAGGCCACGACTGTGAGTGCCAGCACTGGACACAGAGCCGATGACTCTGAGCTGAAGGGCTGGACACACTTTTACAGTGAGACACACATTACTGATTTAATGAGCAGCACACACTGTGGGATGAGTCATTCGGAATCCCAGCCCTCGAGAGCCCATGCCCAGTCAGATAGAAGCGGCTCACGAGTGGAGATGTGCTGATGAGTTGAGTTAATGGATCATATTCCCAAAAGCCTAGGAGTAGATCTGAAGTGTTCTCACCAGAGAGAGAATGATAAGCACGTGAGGACATGCATATGCTAATGAGCTGGAATCAGCTAACTGGCCTCGATGCAGGAGTCCTTCAAAGCACCAACACGTACACTGTAAACACCCACAATCCTATTTGTCCACTGAAATGAAGAAATAAGCATTTTTTTAAAGGCCACACAGAAAAAAAATAAACAAAACGGATGAGTGTAAGGTGTCTACCAGGCTATGATTGAAAAAAAAAATGTAGGGATGGGCAGGCACCCCACAGTAAGTTTTGACCAGCTGTGGATTTCTGTGATGGGTCTGTCTGGGCAAAAAGAAGCATCTTTGATGACAAGGTGGGAGCTATACTTTTCTGTTGGGTATAAGGACAAGTATTTAGAGTGTTGTTGGGAATTATACTGGCTTAGGGAAGTGGAAGTAGTAGGTTCTCCACTAGGGTCCGTGGTCTCAGCTTGTTGGCTAGGTTTACAGTACCAGACATAAATTGCCTCCTATTGAGGATGCTGTTGGTTACCCCAATATAAAAGTGCCACTATTGCACCTTCGGGTATAATTTGCCAGGCTAGTCATTCATTGTTGTGGTTCATGGGCATTACAGCTAGGTTATCTGATTGCATGTGGTCAGTCCTAAATACATATACATATGAGCAACACTAAATGGATTCAGTAGGATGTGTGTGTGTGTGTGTGTGTGTGTGTGTGTGTGTGTGTGTGTAACAATAATATAAAAAAAAAGAGGTAATAAACCTAAGAGGGAGTTGGGCAGAAGACATGGGAGGAGCTAGATAGAGCAGGCAGAATGGGGGCATAAATGATGTAAATATACTCCTCATATATGAAAGTCTCAAAAAAATAAGTGTTTTATTTAAGGAAATGTGAAGTAAGCTTTACTGTGGTGATGTGGTTTATATGTTTAATTCTCTCAAACAATATGTGTGTAAAAAGTCACTTTAAAGCCATGATCCATTAAATGGAAAAAGGCAACTTGCCAAGTGTTAGGCTAGTGGCATGCTATTTGTGGTGATTCACAAATGCATGGTCCTGTGCAAGGGCTTCTGGGAACTCTGGGACAAGAAGGTTCCGTGCAGCCAACAGGATAAAGGAATAGGAGGAAATGAGAATGATCCAGAGGAAGCTTTTGCTGTTTGTGCATACACTTCCAAACTGTGGTTTCTGTTGGGGTGGTTGGATAGTAGTTTGGGGTTTTTTAAACAGGGTCTTACAGGGTAGCCATAGCTGGCCTGGAACTCGCTTTGTAGACTAGGCTGAGCCTTAATCTCAGAGATCCTTGTGCCTCTGGCACCTTCCCAGTGCTGGGATTAAAGGCATGTGCCACCATGCCCAGCTTCGGCTGGGGTTTTAAGGACATGAAGTGTCTTTACATAGAGAGGTGAGACGTCCCCAGCTGGAAATCCTGGTCCTGACTCTAAACTGGGGCCAAGTTAAGCTACAGCACCAACTACATCAGTGGCAGAGAAAAGATGGCAGCACATTCTCCTTTCCTGGCAGGCGCTCTGCCCCACCACCACTCAGAGCAGGTACTTACTATACTTGGACATGCAAGAAGGGGGCTGGCTGGTGCCCAAGCCCAAGCTGGAAGAGGCTATCTCAGTGGCTTCCACTTCTCCTGCTTAGACCACCTTTCTTGGACCCTGGGGCTGCCACGTTTTAAGTCTCCATAGGGAGGGAAAAAATCCCGCACCTTCCAGTTGTCTCTACGCAGGTGCTAGGCACAATGGTTCCTGCAGACAACCTTGCCCACCAGCTAAGAACCACTGGTTGACTCCATCTAACGCCGTGTCTTGAAGGACCATTGCCCAGCGAGCCCTGACCACATTCCCAACCCACCGTATCAAGGGACAAAATACATAGCTGTTTACCTGTTGTTTTAGTGACATCCACAGTTGGAGGAATTTTGCTAGACACCCACTAAGCCCCCAGGAAACAGGTTCTCATTCATGAATCCACAAGAGGGGGACCAACTGGAACCTTGTCCCTGCCTTGGGGCCTTCCAGACTTAGCTGGAGTGTGAACTGTGGTAGGGACTGGGATGGTTTCCTCACTACACAAACACTCCAAGGACAGGGTCAAGGCCTGTCTTGCTCATGATATGTCTCTGCCACCTAGTAAATGTTGAGTAAATGTCACCGGAGAAAGCCCAGCATGGCAGCCCTGGCTGTTCTTGGGCCCATCTGCACCTCTATTTTCTCATGTCCCCTGCAGGGACATTTGAACCAAATATATTGGATGGTAGAGACTTAAACAGCTCTGAAATATTTCCGCAGGTGTGAGCCCCAGAGAAAGACATTATTTTTCTATAGCCATTTTTTATTAACTGTTTTACTGAGGTATAATTTACATACCATAAAATTTATCCATTGTAAGTATGCAATTCAACAATTCCAAGTACATTTCCAGATTTCTGCAGCTGCCACCACCATCCAATCACTGAGCAGCTATAGGCGCTCGGCATTGGTCAGCCTATGAGGAACAAGCTAGTGTCAAGGTCAGCGGAGAGTACACTTTAGTAAGGGAGTCTGGTAATTAGCATGTGATCTCACTACAGTTACAGAGAAGATCAAACCTGGGGGCAGGGCGCTCAAGGGGTAGCTCAGCAGTTAACAACTTGTGTGCCACTCTTGCAAAGGACCAGAGTTTGGTTCCCAGCATCCACCTTGGGTGACTCACAGTCACCTGTAACTCCAGCTCCAGACGACCTGACACTGTCTTCTGGCCTCCTTGGGCACTCCATTCACACGCATGGGTGCACACTCACACACACAATCTAAGAATCATTTTAACTACTTTAGAATAAAGAGTTCTACTGAAAGAAAATCATATGCGCAAGGTAGTTCATCTTGGAATTCGTTATCACTGAGAAATGAGAAGATTCTGAATCCTGCCAGAGTCGGAATTATTTCCCTGGCAATTGTCACTTCCTGCTCACAGGATAGTCTACTACCTCTAATGGGAATAATTTTTCCATCATTGTAAAGATTTGGAGGATGCAAGGGGAGAAGCAAGCTTTCCAGGATACAGAGGGACCTCAGCTAACCATGGTTTATTTGACGCATAATTCTTCAACTTAATGATTGTCCAAAAGTGACACATTCATTCAGTAGAGAGTGCACTTTGGATTTGGCTCTTCCCCCAGGCTGGTGATGTGTTACACAACCCTCCCCAGATGATGGGCAGTAGCATCAGACCCATGATCATGCAGGAGAAACAGTGTCCTCCTACAGAAGGTATGTGTGGCTGAGTTGGGATCTCTTGTCAGTCTACAGTATTTTCAGTCCTGATATGTTTACTGGGATATAATGATTTTGCCAATGAAGGAAAATCTGGACTATGTTCAGGAAACAGAATACACAACTCAGTCGAACACATCCAAAGATAACGCTGCAGACTGAACACAGAGGAAGAGGCTGTGGGACTCTGGTTACACACTTGGTTCTCCATTGTCATTCTTCAGTAGGCTGCTATTGAAAGTCTACCACAGACTACACATCAGAAGTCACTGTTCTCACCCTTAAGTCCCACCTCACCCACCATCCATGCATCTTGCTTTCCAGGTAACCTAGGGTTTCAAGATACACAACTGGTGTGTGTGTGTGTGTGTGTGTGTGTGTGTGTGTGTGTGTGTGTGTGTGTGTGTGTGTATATACACATATATTTATGTATGCATATAATCTAATTACATATATGTGTATATATATATATATATATATATATATATATATATATATATGCTTTAATTTAAAAAATAAAGTAAAAACAAGAGTCCAGTGAAAACAAAGAAAGAGCAGTCCAAAGCTGCACTGAGGTAGGACTAGTCTGGGGCCTGCAGGCTCACTCCACACACACTTGGTGACAGCCTCCAGGCTCTGTCTGTGTACATGTAGGTAGTGTCCTCGGCTCTGTTCAAGGCACAACAAGGGTCTGTGGCTATTTTGAGCAATGGAAACATTTGTTTTGCCAGTTCATAAGTCCTTTCTATGGCCAGTCAGATGACAAGCCCACACAGAGTCAAGTCACTGGGGTCCACCTACATGATCTCGGGCCTGGACCTGGTGAGAGGGGGTATGCCCACCCTCTGCAGTCTTCCACAAGCAACGTCCCTCTGAACAGCTACACCACTGGTCTCAGACTCACTGGTGACAGCCAAAGGCAGGACTTACCTGTCAGGTTCCACAGCAGACACAAAGATAGGAAAAGCTCCAGCAGTACTCACTTGAACATCTGCTGAACACGGATGGTACCCCACATGCCCACAGCATCCCCAGAAACACACAAACTCACTTTATACGATACCCAGTGTGCCCAGCTTTGGTACCGTGTCAAGTTGGAAAGAAATAGAATCTGTTGAGAAGGCAGAGGTGTGCATGGCAAGAATGAAACTCTGGCTGCATTTGCATTTCCCATGATTCATTTTACTTTTTGTGAAGTATGCATCAGGGCCTAAAATGTCCTCCAACTGCCTCGTAGATTTAAAGGCACATTCAATAATCTCTTTGCTTCGTTTTTTTCTACACTGTGACCCCTTAACATGGACTCTTCATGTGTATTTTTTTTCTCTTATGTGTCCCAAGCATGTTAGGAATGCTATGTGTGCCAGGTATTAGAAAGTCAAGATGGGTAAGACACCATCAGTGAGGGTGAGCAGGGGACCAAGGGGACATTCGGAGAAGAAAGGAATTCTTGGGGCTGGGGAGATGGCTCAGTTGATAATATGCTTGCTGCACAAATGCGAGGCCCGAGTTCGGACCTCAAGCACACACGTAAACATCTGGGCATGGCCATGTGTGCACGCAGCCCCAGTGCTGGGAAGGCAAACACGGAAAGACCCTGGGCTTGCTAGCCCACTAGCCCAGCCAAACGAATGAGCCCCAAGTTCAGTGAGAGCCATTGAGAAAGATACTCCACGTCAACGGCTGGCCTCCACATGCATGTGTGCACGCGCACACACATCCCACACACATACACACAAAGGAGACAGGAAGTCTTGGGCACAGAAGGAACTCTTGAGAATTGCAGAAGATGAGAGCAAGCAAGATAGAAGAGCCGTAAGTCCTGGATTCCCGCCATTCCCCCCAGCTGGTGTGAGCCTCTGAGCCAGCTCCCGGCTCTTCCAGCCTCGGCCTTGTCTGCCAAGCTAATTTGCTGGCTCCCTGAGGGCAGGAACTCTGGGTTCCCTTTCATCCCTATTAGTCTGAAGCACCCACCTACAGGGCAGAGAATAGGTGCTCAATGAAATGGCATGCTTCACTGTGGATGCTGGCCAGGAGCCCCAGTCTCCCAACCAAGCATAGGTAGTGCAGGCCATAACCGTGCCTTGGGACAGTGAAGCAATTCCTACTGTGTTCCAGATCAGAGCTGACTGAGGACACTAAGACTCCTCCATATGGCGTGATCTGACTCTGTGCCCTCAGCCAGGTTCATCTATCCTCCCTCAGACCATCCCTCATATGAATTCAATTTGGGAATATTCAGACCTGGGTAGGACTTGCTGAGCCAAGACCACGCCTGTCTCAGGGAACATGGCCAGGGGCTTGTCCCTAAAGGCTTTGCCCTGACTCTGATGGGTGAGACACGCTGAAATCGTTACGTTGAAAACGAGAGCAGAAGAAAAACCTAAAGAAATACTGGGACACCCCCCCCCCACTACTCTAACGGGCAAAATGAAGGAAGGGCCATCAGAGGTCCCATGAGACCTCAGTACGTGAATTCTGTCAAGGCCACAGCCATCTGCAAAGGCAGTAGATGGCTTGACTTGGTGTGACATAGAATTCTCCAAGACACAAAGGAGTCTGCCAATGACTGCTCTCAGTCAGGGGTGCTGCTCACTCCATCAGTGATTGCGGACACCCCACTGCCCGGCACTCTAACAGCAGCTCTTGATACAGCAACTGCAGAGAAACTCGCTTCCATCAAGCTTATACACCAGTAGGCAGGGCAGCCAAGCTGTCACTCAAAGTGCTCCAAAGCCCACACACTCATGTGTGTAAACGGACACAGCCAACTTGTTCAGAGGCAGAGGTCCGACACTGCGCAACTATGAACCACACTTCTTGGTCCCGGGTACAGTGGAATTTACTTCTTGGTGTTATCGAGAGCCATCTCCAAGGGGAAGGTGTCACCCTACTCAATGACTTTCAGATTTCTGGTGTCTCTCCCCCTTCCCATCCAGGGACAAGAAGACAGCCTCGGGAAGTCCCCATCAGAAAATTCCATCTGCGTCTGCCCATGGGCATTCTGCTTTTGCCTTTCTATCTCTGACACCTCAAACACATGGGTGTCACCCCAAAGAGGGGACGCAGTGTCCCCTCATGCCGCCCCAGATGCCTCATCTCTAGCACTCCTGCCGGGAAAATCATTGAAATTAGGCTGGGACTTTGCAAAATGTCTCTATCTGTCCTTGTCACAGCTCATCCATTTCCCTTGGAGGCCCTGGGTGCCAGTCCTCACGGCTCACCCCCATGGGCAGACAGATCCAGGGTTAACAAAAACTTGGGACAATCTTTCCAGCTTTACCTCCCAGCAGCTCACATGCCAAGAGACACTGGAGACATCAGCCCTCTCCCCAAGATTCTAAACACAGGACACTCCTTCTTCTGCTCCTAGGGATGCCCTTCCAAACTACTGACCAGCTTGGCCTTAGCCCATGCAGGGAGTGCCCCCTTTCCCTCAACCAGCACAGGCTCCACAATGCCAGAAAAATGGGACATTGCCATAAATCTGTCAGACCGTGACTTTTATTTAGTTAGTTATTTATTTTGGGGAAAATCCTGTGCCCCTCTTTCCAAAACTAACTTTCCAGCTACCTATAGACACATCCAGTGGACCATCGGTTATTAGCAAACCAGAGAACCAACAACATGAAGAAAACATTGTTCGGGAAGCATTTGAGGGGGGAAGGTTCAGGTGTATGCAGGCATCCACATGTGTGGGTGCATGTGCACATGTACGTGCATATGTGTGGAAGCCAGAGGTCAAACTTAAGCCATTCCTTAGGAGCAGCCTACTTTTCTGGTTTCAGTTTGTATATCTGGGGACAGGGTCTCCCACTGGGACTCGGGGCTCACTGATTAGGCTGGGTGGCAAGCCCCAAGCACCCTTCCTTCTTCCCCTCCCCATCACTGCTACGACAAGGACACATCACACCTGGCTTTCCACGTGGGGCCTGGAGATCACACTTAGGCCCTCATGCTTTCTGGTGTCCTAGTTAGGGTCCCCATTGTTGTGATAAAACTATGACCAGAAGCAACTTGGGGAATGTCTTAGTTAAGATTTCCAGGTTTCTATTGCTGTGAAGAGACACCATGACCATGGCAACTCTTATAAAGGAAAACATGTAATGGAGGATGGCTTACAGTTCATAGGTTTAGTCCATTATCATCACGGCAGATGGCACACAGGCAGACGTGGTGCTGGAGAAGGAGCTGGGAGTTCTACATCTTGATCTGCAGGCAACAGGAAGTGAATTATGTACTACATTGAGCGTAGCTTGAGCAAAAGAGACCTCAAAGCCCACCCCCACAGTGACACACTTCCTCCAACAAGGCCACACCTCCTAATAATGCCACTCCCTCTGGAGGCCATTTTCTTTCAGACCACCACAGGGAGGAAAGGGTTTAACACTTCCACATCACGGTTCACCAAAGGAGGTCTGGGCAGAAATTCAAGGCAGGAACCTGAAAGCAGAAACTGAAGCAGAGGCCATGAAGGAGTGCTGCTTACTTGCTTACTTACTTACTGCCTTGATTCTCCTTGCTTGCTCAATTTGCTTTCGCATAGCACCCAAGACCACCAGTCCAGGGGTGACACCACCCGCAGTGAGTGGGGCGCTCCTACATCAAGCGTTAATCAAGACAGTGTCCCCAAAGACTTACCTACAGGCCAATCTGGTGGGGGCATTTTCTCAATGAGGCTCCCTCTTCCCAAATGATTTTAGCCCGTGTCGAGTTGACAGTAAACTGGCCAGTACATAGGACAAGCACTGGACCATCGAAGCTATCTCCCTGGCTCCCTAGAAATAATCTTATGTTTGATTTATATTCTGAAATCATTGAGGCAAACCCCCAAAGGTCAGTTGGGACTTCCTGGTGTACTTACCCATATTTTGTGTACTTGTGTTTTGCTTTTAAGGATGTAAAGGAAGGCAGAAGAAGCTGCCCCTGATACTTTGGATGCTTCAGGCCTCTCAAATTTTTCTACCATCCTACAACAACCATATCTAAAATAGGAGGCAAAGCATGCTTGTAAGAGTTGGGGCACAGGGGAAGAAAAAAAGGGAGGCATGAGTCAGGGAATGGAAGCTTCTGAAAGGCAGGTCTCAGGGCCACTGAGGGGTCTGTGTGACGGTGCATTTAGGGGTCGAGCTAATGGATACACTGGCTGGATAGGTGACCTTGGGCACACTGCTCTCTCCCAGCTCAGGAAGCTTTTGGAAGAAATTGGTGTGAAGGAGGAAAGGGGAATGTACAACAGATGTCTTCCCAGCTCCTGCCTAGGGCAGGGCGTGCACTATGAGCCACGGTGAGCCTGGCGCAGCTCTGCTGCAGGGGTGCACACCATATGTAGGAGGATGCGGGTTCACAGCTGCCTTCGGCTGTGTGGAGTGCTCGGCTTGTGTTCGTTCGCCGCTATCCTGACTGTTGAACCTCGCCCTGCCTTGTGACTCAGAAACTCATCCCCTGCCCACCGGCTTCAGCAGGAAGCCCAGCAGCCTATAGGTGACAGTAGCTCCATTTTCCTCTCAGCAGCCCAGAGGACAGGCCATCCCTCCTGGTTGTGCCCATGACCTCTCTGTCACCCCTTCCAATCCTGCAGGGGTATAGGGACCCCAACTTCTGCTGGCCCACGGTGCAGCCTGTCTACTCCACACTGACACTGACTCCCTTGCCTATGGTAACAGCCCTTCCTTGATTAGCCAGTCCCACCTGGCCCTTAGCATCCTGCCCTGCTGGGGTTCCTCTTCCTTGTCTCCCAACACATCTTCCCTGGAGCTAGTGGACGTTCAGTACTGAAATGTCCAGGATCCCCCCAGGGGTAGTACATTTACAAGGAGCGCAAAGGCACTGAGAGGATTGAGTGCTAGTAGAAGGAGAGAGATGTTCCTGAGACCGCTGTAGGCCTGAGGGTTCCATGGCCAACACGCAACAGAGGAGTCAGAGTGGAGGGGCTTAGGCTAGACCCAGGTCAGCCTCACAAGGAACCTGAGGCAGAGGGATCTCAGGGGTGAGTGAACGGCAACGCTTAGTGAGTGTTACCCCTCACACTTAAAAAGTTAAGGCTGATCTCAGAGTCTAGCCTTGAAGTGGAGTGAAGAGGATGTGGTCCTCTAGACACAAATGGTAACGATTAAATGGCTAGGCGTACCCCCAAGCCCCACAAAGATCATATATCCCCCAGAAAGACATCCTGGTGTGAGAAAGGGCAGCCATGACCCAAAACCATTAGGGTTTTTCCTTAGATCTTTGCCTCAGTAGCCCATAAAGCCATGTGGAAGCTCACTGGGACAGAAGTAGCCAGCATGCTACTTCCTGGCATGAGCCACCTCCTCTACTCCCAGGTCCTCTGCCCTACCCTCAGCTGCCTAGAAACTGCACTCCTGACTCCATTCCTACCTTCTCATTCACACTTGATCATCGAGATGCCTTATACTGTCCACTTGACAGGAAGTAGAGTCACCTTGAGATCAGTCTCTGGGCATGCCTGGGAGGAATTTTCTAATTAAATCTCTTTAGTTACATTAATTAAAGTAGGAGGACCCAAATGAAATAAAGAGGAGAAACAGTGCCAGGAACCAGCATTCGTCACTGTTTCCTGACTGTGAATGCCACGTGACCAGTTGCCTCACACACCTGCCACCATGCCTCCCCCACCATGATGGACTGTACTCTCAAACTGTGAGCCATAAGAAACCCTCCCTCCCTTAAGTCGCTTCTGTCGGAATACCTTATCACAGCAACAAGACAAATGACTAACAAACCATGAAATCCATATTCTCAGGCATGACCTTGACCTCTCTCCCTGGAATTCCCATTTTCCACCCAGCCCACACCATCTGACCCAGGGCCCTTCCAGCCACACAGCACCCATCCATGAGGCTGATTGATCCTAGCCCTGTGAGCCAGAAGCCAGACCGACTAAAACTGTCCCCTTTGTGAGTCCTAGCCCCAAAGATCTAAATTCAAGTGTGAAAAAGGCCGAAAACACTAAACTAACCCCACAGAATGACTCGCTTGCTTCCTTGTCCCTGGAAGGATCAGCCCATTACATTTAATGGACTTTGATACTTCTTATTGCAGTCCATAAAAGCTATTATTAAAATGAAGGATGGTTCAGTTAAGTATCCCAGCCCTGGTACTTTCCTTTTCAGAGATATCCAAAGCAATTGGTGTCAGGATTCCACATGCGTTTTCCACATTAGCTACTGACACTGTCTCCTAAGGAGTTGTTTTCAAGATTTTATTGATCCCATTTTTCCCAAGTGTGGAGAGTGTGCCAGGCCAGGGCCTAAGCTGCAGGCAGATGTGGTGAAGCCCAGGCCCCGTGACGTTCGCAGCTTAGCAAATGAGAGCAGTGACTCACTCTGAGCGGTTTGGTCCGACACTGCTGTGCCCATCATGGCAGAAGAATGAAGCCACTGGTCCCTGGACTTGATCTATGGAGTGTTAGCGGCAGCAGCTGGAGCCATCTGCACTGTCTCTCTGTACAAGCTCCTTCTGCAAGGACTTGTCAACACACACAGGGTAAATGTGACACTGTGGATTTCTCACAGCTGGAGCTAAGACAGATACACCACCCACAGACAGACATGTCGCCTGCCATTCTGGCCTACTTCTCCAGAGGATAAGTCAGAGTCCCTCCCTGGAGAGGCACGTTTGCAGGAGTCATGCTGGCCCCGGGGAGGCAAAGCAATGCGTTAGCCGTGTGGACTCTTGCCCACACGGCCTTGGTTTCCTCCCCTGAAATGAGATGCTCGATTCATCATCTCAAGGGGATCATCTGACCTTCAACACAAGGCCAAGTGTTTCTCAGACTCAGAAGGCTGAACTGTCAGCCACGAATCCCAAGTCATAAATTCCTGCTAAAGGTTGGTTTACATGGTGATGACATCTAAACAGCATGGAATATGGCTTTCATTGAGAAATTCCAATACTAGAACATGAATGGTTTCTATACCAATGTTCAGACAGGCCCTGTTAGGTGTAGATACAGGGAAGTGAGAGGAGAAAGGAGGAAGGAGAGAAGGAAAACACGCTGTGCATATTGTAGAATGCTTCCACAGTCCAGCAAGGAATTAAATGGGAATGCAAGCAACTCTCCATCCCTCCCTAAACCTGGCTTCTCACATCTTCCTTTGAGCTGTGTTCTAACAGCTCCATGTACATCTCACCGAGAAAACAAAGTGTTCTACCCCTGTCCCAGCAGCCACTCTAACATAAGCTCACTCAAAAGGGAAACATAGACGTGTGTGTGTGTGTGTGTGTGTGTGTGTGTGTGTGTGTGTGTGTAGTATTTGGCTTTCTACAAACTTTTCCAAACATACAGAAACTATTGTAACAAGCATCCGTGTGTGTATCATCCAGATTAGAGATGTGTTTGCCTTCTTTTGTTTGCTACTGAGCCAGGAAGGAAGAAGGAGGAGAGTAGGAGGGAGGGAGAGAAGGAGAGAGGGGGAAAAGAGGAGGAGAAAAGGGAAAGAGAAGGGGAGGAGGGAGGAGAGGAAGGTAAAGGAAGGGAGAAGGGAGGAAGGCCAGCAGGGAAGGAGAGAGGTGAGGAGGGAAGCAGAGAGGAAAAGAGAGGAAGGGGAGGAGGGGAGGAGGAAGAAAAGAAATAAAATGCTTACAGCAGATACATAATATAAGATTCTAGATTTCATTCTATCTTCCCCAGAAGTACCCATTGTCCTGAAATTTGGCAAGGATGATTACATACACTTTTTTTTCCTTTGTATCACAGGATTCCATATCCATAGATAATGCATGGTGGATCTGTGTGTTAAATACTGTGTAAATAGAGTGGTATCAATCATACTTCTTAAAAACATATTTATGCCAACTGGTCCTTGTTGACACAGGGGTAGCTCATGATCCACGACAAAAATGTCATAGATTGGGTGGCTTAATTGAGCATTTACATACTACAGTTCTGGAGGCTAGAAAGTCCAAGTTCAAGATTTCTGGTGGTCAAGTCATTCCGTGACTCAGTGTCTGCTGAAGAGCCATTTCCTGGTTCACACAAGCCACCCTCCAGCTCCGACCTCACATGGTGAAAGGGGCACAAGAGATCTCTGGGTCCTCTTTATAAGGGCACTAATCTCACTTTTCGAGGGCTCCACCCTCATGATCTGATCACTTCCCAAAGGCTCCACCTTCTAACACAATCACTCTGGGGATTAGAATTTCAAATATGAAACAGTCATCCCTAACATATTAGTTACAATCGCTGCATAGTACTCTGTTATATAACTAAACCGTGGGCGGTCACTCCACTCCTCTACTGAAGAAAACTAGAACATTTCCTGTGTGGTTTGGCTTTTGGAAGTTTAAACATAATAAGAAGTTATTGTGCGAATTCTTCTCCTGTCAGATCTGCGCCCACCTCACTTTCAACCATCTGCAGAGACACTGGTGAGAGAATATTAGAAGCAGTCCCTACTCAAGGTTCATTCTGATTGCCTTACATATACAATGTCCCAAGAAATGTCCACATGTCCACCTTGTGACTTCCAAGAATATATTTTTCTGAGAAAAAATTAACAATGGGATAACTGAACTACTTACAATTAAAACTTTTGTGCATCTAAAAAAATTGAAGCAAACCATTTTCTGACCAATAGCACAAATGATAGACTCTTACCTCACAACTTAACCAATGCTATGTAATTTTGGCAACCTGGGAGACAAAATGACAACCCAAATGACTTCCATGCCATGTTTAGTTTCTCCTTTTGACTCCTCCTGCATGAGCCAGAGAAGTTATTGCAATATGTTTCTTCAGATGACTCTGAGCATGCTATTTGGCAGATCTCATATTTTAGAAGCATGTCAGGTCAAGTAAGAATGAGATTCAGGGTAGAATTTTTTAGGACTACCCCCAAGGAATGATTCTCTACAGTTGTCAAAATGGATGGATAATGGTGAGTAGATGGATGGATGGATGGATGGATGGATGGATGGATGGATGGATGGACAGACAAATGGATGATGGATGGATGATGGATGGACAGACAAATGGATGATAGATGGATGGATGGACAGAAGGAAGGAAGGAAGAAAGAAAGAAAGAAAGGAAAGAAGGAAGGAAGGATTATGGATGGATTGATGATGGATGGACAGACAGATAGATGGAAGGATGGATAGATGGATGATGGATGGATGGATGATGGATGGATGAATAAATGGATGGATGGATGGATGATGGATGGATGATAGATAAATGGATGGATGGTGGATGGATGGACGGATGGATGGATGAATAGATGGATGGATGGATGGATAGTAAGAATATGGCTCTATGGGCTATCAAGGCCAGAAAAACAGACTTCAGACTTCATTCCCTTAAATCCCAAGAGAATTTCTAAGGGAAGATCTACCATGTCAACAAAATCAGCTCTTTCACATTCTTGACTCATGAAATGTTCAGGTTTGATCTTGTTCTCTCTAGTACCATCCAGACCCCAAAAGTCTTCTCACAACCAAAGATGACATTGGGTCAAGCTTGAACATTTGAAATCTCAAAGCCCACCCATCCCCCCGCCCCCTGCCCCCCCACACACACTTCCTCCAATAAGGCCACACCCACTCCAACAAAGGCACACCTACTTCAACAAGGTCACACCTATTTCAACAAGGCCATACCTCCTAATCCCTGTCAAGTAGCACCACTCCTTAATGACCAAGCATTGAAATCTATGAGCTTATGAAGCCATTCCTATTCAAACTACCACACACAGAGTCACAAAGGATGTGCTTAGAATGGACAATCCTGGTGGTGGACAGAAGGCTCAATTTTGCCTGCATGACTGGGCAATCCAGTCAAGGCTAGTCCCCAAAGAAGGCATGTGGACTAGACCTATGGTGAAGGTAGACATTTTCCAGAAAATTCCAAAAGGAGAAAATCAGAGAAGGGCTAGTACTTGCTACATGGAGGCAGATGCCTGAACCATCAGGAAAGGGGCGAAGTGACTCACCACCAAATACCTCAGCTTTTCAGAATGCTGAGGACCTTACTGGAGAAGGCCCTGCTAGCATTGCTGGGGGAAGGGAGGGACTTTGAGCCCCAGCTGGGAAAGAGCTGCTGGTAGCACCTCCCCCCCATTCTTCACCCATCAGCCTATCCAGGTCAGAGTTCCTAGGGCCCTGGCAGATATCGCATGCATGTTGCAGGAGGGAATCCATGTGGGGATCCCTGACTGGTTTCGGGCTCCCACGCCCTCCTCTAACTTCCCCTCCCACCCTGGCCTCATTTCTAGCCCCTGGAAACCCCAAACTCATTCTTTCTGGGGCCCAGGCCCTACATGCTCTCTCTCTCTCTCTCTCTCTCTCTCTCTCTCTCTCTCTCTCGACCGACCGACCGACCGACCGACCGACTTCCTCCCATCTCTTAGATCTTGGCCCAGCGGTCAGTTTCCCAAAGAGAGGCTTTATATGACAGCTTTACTCTAGAGCTCCTTCATTGGCTCCACTTCCACACAAGCCCAGTTCATGTCATTACCAAAAATGACCCGTTTATTCTCGACACGAACTTACTCCATTCTGTTTATTGAGCACATGTTGGGTATCACACACTATTCGGGTGCACAGATATGATGCTGATCCTGACATAGTCACTGCCAACCAAGAATCGTTCCATTAGTGAACATCAGAAAGCAATCATAAAGAATAAAATATTCAAAAGGACTAAGATCCACAAAGGAAGCATTCAGAGGGAGACCAAGACAGAGGAGGTGTGCTATTTGAATTTGGTTCACTCAGGAACAAATCTCTGAATAATGACAATGGTAGAGTCACGGAGAGTCACGGAGGAAGCAATGCACCATGGGAAGAGCACTCCAGGCAGAGAACACAGCAGTGCAAAGGTCCTGAGGCAGGACTGGACTTGAAGACTTCAAAGAACAGCTACTGCCAGGAGGGTGTGATGAGTGAGAAGGAAAAACAGAAAAAAATCAGGTGAGGCCTTCCCAGCCTGTGGTCACGGGCTTCATGGAAAACAAGTGTAACAGGAAGCCTCCTGGGCCTCCATTAGGACTGTGACCCCTGCCCTGCTAGAGTGTGAGATCCATGAGAACACATTCATCAATCTCATATGGGCCCTGAATCCCAGTCTGGCAGTGCCTAGCCCGTTAGAGATGTCACATAAATACTGCGGGTGATTGATTTCTTTCTGCTGAGTCCCTTCTCGGGCTGGGCAGACACACACTAGCTGACTGTTGGCATGCCAGTCTCCTGCCTGACCACACCCTGCTTCTCTTGTGTCCCATTTGAACCCCGTTCACAACAGGGATGTTTTCACAGGTCTGAAGCAGCAGAGATGACCTCGTCACTTACTACAGCAGGTTCGCTGTGTGAGTTACAGCACGGTCACGCATTTCCACCCGGAGATTAAGGCAAACTGGAGTTTCAAAAGCATTGCTGGCTCCGGCCCCCAGCACTCCATCAACCACTCGTGGTGGGGCTGCAAGGTTTGGTTTTCCACACCCTGAGCTC